AATTTCATAAAAATACATGGAAAGTCGATAAAATTGCGTGCAAATTAAATCTGTACATGCGAAATCCGTAGTGCTTCTAGCAATGTTGGGGAAGTTATACACTAAGTTGGTAGTGGTACTGCAAAGTAAGGCAAATTTGTTAACAAGTAGAAATAAGTCTACAAAAATTAAGATCCATCTTTGTATCCTAGAGAAAGTGGCTGTCGGTTTCACACCTGTAAATACATTTAAATAACCATTTTGGATAGTTACGCAGATTTACTCACACAGGGGATTGAAAAGTGAATGGTGGTATTTTGTTTCCTCACTGACAGAGCTAAAAAAGTAATTCCTCTTCTCTACTGATCCTCCCATAAGTGCAGGCACTCGCCCACTGGAATGTTTGGTGGTAGATGGGGAGAGACAGGGGTTCTGAAATGAAATCTTTATGTGATTGTGTAATTCCGTTTTTGAACCATGTCAGTTGTAGAATGTATCTCTGCAGGCTGATCCGTGACTACTGAGGATAGCCTGTGCACTGTCCTATCAAACTCATGAATTAGGGTTGTTGTACTTCAATATTATCGTATTTGGCGACATGTTCACAAGCCACCCAAAGTAGTGTTTCATTTACAAAGGATATCCCTAAACAACTCATTCAAATTGAGTATAGTGGAGATATAGGTGAAAAACCAGCTGAATGGGGTCGGCCACTTTTGTTCCCACAGTACAGACTTATTATTCCATTGATCCAGTTCTGACTTTCTTTACCTGTGTATATTTTCGCACAAGTTAGCTATATGGTTTAACAAAGTATGTCAATTATTTACTATTGCCATTTTGTATCAACCAACATGTTCCATCAATTTCAAGATGACTGACCTACCCAATCTGACGCTTTAGCACTGGATATATCTGTTTGTTCTGCTCTAGCAAATTTAATAGTATGCAATCTTGTGACCTAAATCTGTGTGTAGTTTGCAGTTGAGTCAAAGCATATATAGAAGGCAGAATTTGATACGTTGAAAATATGTGAACAAACAAGCTGTTTTCTGATTGGCTTGAGTGATAGGCACCATCTTTTAAGTAGCTTAGCATTGTCTAGTAGTTTGTGCTGTAAATGTGTCAACTTAGTCATGTCCATACCAACATGCCACACAAGAAAACCAGAATAGAAATCAAAACCTTTTTATAACATTACAAAAATTATTCAGTTTATTTGATAGTTTACAATCTGATGGAGTCATCTGTGAAGTATAAATCTTGAAAAATATAGAGATAATGAAATAAAAGAGTCTATTTACATACAGGTATAACCAGAGTATCTTACTTTCACTCCACTATAAATGCTTAAAAGGCAGTCGATCAATAAAAATGATTCATGGAAAATGAGTCATTTCTGACACACCCCCTCCACCACCACCGAAAAAAACTATTTTTTATAAACCCCTATACTTGTTTGGTTCACATTTTAACTTAACTTTATGTCCATTTCCACTTTGTATTGGTGCTTGTTTTCTGTATTGCGTGTACAATGTTTTTCGTTCACAATGTTTGTTTTTAGTATATGTTTTGCGTAGTTTCTTATTGCGATTTTACCGCAGGCAATGCTGAATCACCTTTTATCCCTACTCATGTTTCCTGTGTATTAGTTTTAATAATCGACAGACCATATGATTGGGTGAATTTTGTAAGTAGTTAAGTGCCAATGATACATGTGGAAATATAAAACATTAAAATTCTAAATACAGTTTACTACTAATTTATTCAGCTGTTTGAAGTACGTGGCAGTTGGAGAAGCGGGAAGCTATTCTCAGTACAAAGATTATACAAATTATAATCTACTGTGACAGAATGGCGAATAGCATGACAATCCTGCTGAAGACTACTGAGCTTTCATGAACCTGTATTGAGTAGGCTACTGAGGTCACCTGCAACGAAGGTTCTGTGATTGGAAGATGAACTCATTTGTGGGAGCTGAAGCTTCTAGAAGATTATACAATTAAATAAATGGATACTGATTACAAAATATACATTACTGGCAGTGAAATACACAGACAAAAAAAATAAAAATAAAAATTCAAAAAATAAACTAAAGTTGACAGAAAATTGAGTTTCCTTGGATTGATTTATCATATTGATTTTTCAAATAAAAAAAAATATACTTCTACGTATGAGTGAATGAAACAGGCAACATTCGCAATACACTTTGGTGAAAATGCTGACAAAAGATTTATTGAATGAAGTTACAATAAAAATTACCAAATTCACAGATCTGGACTTGTTTACTAGATTCAAACTAGATAACATACAATTCATGGGCTGACTACATCTTATAGGATATCATGGGCTGTCTGCGTGTACAATAATATGGGATATCACAAGCAATCTGTACGATTGTACATATTATGGGATATCACAAGCAATCTGTATGATTGTACATATTATGGGATATCATGGGCAATCTGTATGATTGTACTACATTATGGGATATCACAGGCAATCTGTACGATTGTACATATTATGGGATATCACAGGCAATCTGTATGATTGTACATCGTGTGGAATATCATGGGCAATCTGTACGATTGTACATATTATGGGATATCACAGGCAATCTGTATGATTGTACATCATGTGGAATATCATGGGCAATCTGTATGATTGTACATATTATGGGATATCACAGGCAATCTGTATGATTGTACATATTATGGGATATCACAAGCAATCTGTATGATTGTACATCGTGTGAAATATCACAGGCAATCTGTACGATTGTACATATTATGGGATATCACAGGCAATCTGTCTGATTGTACATATTATGGGATATCACAGGCAATCTGTATGATTGTACATATTATGGGATATCACAGGCAATCTGTATGATTGTACATATTATGGGATATCACAGGCAATCTGTCTGATTGTACATATTATGGGATATCACAGGCAATCTGTCTGATTGTACATATTATGGGATATCACAGGCAATCTGTCTGATTGTACATATTATGGGATATCACAGGCAATCTGTATGATTGTACATATTATGGGATATCACAGGCAATCTGTCTGATTGCACATATTATGGGATATCACAGGCAATCTGTATGATTGTACATATTATGGGATATCACAGGCAATCTGTACGATTGTACATATTATGGGATATCACAGGCAATCTGTATGATTGTACATATTATGGGATATCACAAGCAATCTGTATGATTGTACATCGTGTGAAATATCATGGGCAATCTGTACAATTGTACATATTATGGGATATCACAGGCAATCTGTCTGATTGTACATATTATGGGATATCACAGGCAATCTGTATGATTGTACATATTGTGGGATATCACAGGCAATCTGTACGATTGTACATATTATGGGATATCACAGGCAATCTGTATGATTGTACATATTATGGGATATCACAGGCAATCTGTATGATTGTACATATTATGGGATATCACAAGCAATCTGTATGATTGTACATCGTGTGAAATATCATGGGCAATCTGAACAATTGTACATATTATGGGATATCACAGGCAATCTGTCTGATTGTACATATTATGGGATATCACAAGCAATCTGTATGATTGTACATCGTGTGGAATATCATGGGCAATCTGTACGATTGTACATATTATGGGATATCACAGGCAATATGTATGATTGTACATATTATGGGATATCACAAGCAATCTGTATGATTGTACATCGTGTGGAATATCATGGGCAATCTGTATGATTGTACATATTATGGGATATCACAGACAATCTGTATGATTGTACATATTATGGGATATCACAGGCAATCTGTATGATTGTACATATTATGGGATATCACAGGCAATCTGTCTGATTGTACATATTATGGGATATCACAGGCAATCTGTCTGATTGTACATATTATGGGATATCACAGGCAATCTGTCTGATTGTACATATTATGGGATATCACAGGCAATCTGTCTGATTGTACATATTATGGGATATCACAGGCAATCTGTATGATTGTACATATTATGGGATATCATGAGTGATCTGTCTGATTGTACATATTATGGGATATCTTAGACTACCTGTCTATACATAATATGGGATATCATTGGCTACCAATCTGATTGTACGTATTATGGGATATCATGAGTGATCTGTCTGATTGTACATATTATGGGATATCTTAGACAGCCTGTCTGTACATAATATGGGATATCATTGGCTACCTATCTGATTGTACGTATTATGGAATATCTCTCCATATATTAGGGAATATTTTATTAGAGACTATTCCATTTTACAATAACGTTTACACTACCAATTCCCATGCAATAATCTCATTGTAACCAGCAGTAAACAACAACTTTCCAGATGGAGAGAAAGCAACTAGTTGAACAGCATCATTGTGGCCTGTGAAGTCTTGAAAACTTCCCTCATAATAGTCAATTAGTTTGACTAAACGCTCTGTAAAGTAAATAATATGCATGAACTGTAAGTCTGAACTTTGCTTCAATTCATCCAGTCATTGCACTTGGCATCAATCTTATCGACAGAAATAGCTTCAATAAAGAAAATGTTAGCAAGCACCCTAAGAATTTTTCTATCAAACAGTTTGTTTTTTCCGCTGGTGTTTCGTAGCATTAACTAACAACGTTGTAGGGTGAAAAATAGCAAAATAATTTCTAAATGTTCATTGGCTATTTGTGGTATTGAATCTACCAACATCTATGAATAATTAGATTTTTTTCTAATTGATCAGGTCATGTATTACTCTTTCATTGTGGATGATATATTAACTTTACAGTATGTGACTCAACTTACCACTAGCTCCAGTAGCAATGACATGCCCTTGAGGGGAGACATCCAAATCAGTTGCCCAATGAGTCAATGCAACTGTACGAACTACCTGAAAATGTAAAAATAAAAAAATGTAATTACGATTAATTTAAAACAAGTGTACTATGATGCACAGTATTAGTATATCTACTGTACTTGATCACATGTGACAAAAAACTTACCCTTCTCTGCGACATGCTGTAAAACTGAATATGTTTCTGCATCCCATAACCACTATATATAATGATATCAGGTTCACTTGGTGAGAATCTGGCTAGACTTGGTGGTAATAACTTGTAAGATGACTGGAAAAAACAAACATAATCCCATTTAGTGTATCTATATCAGTATATGTGAATTTGGAACCACAGCACAGCCACGAGTCTCACAGACCTACAATAGTTCAGGAAATGGACA